AAACAAGAAAAAAAACACACGAAAAAAACAACTCTAGAGTCTAAACCAAGGCTGGGCCAGCAACCAGCCGGATCACCTGCCCCGGTCCAACCGGGGCCGGACCGGTCCAGGGGGGGTGAACTGGCAAAACCGGATGCCCCTATAAAATACCCAGATTTTTTTTTATGTTTTTTTTCTGATTGCGGCATCTGACTGCGCTCGCCGAGATCTATCGGACTCCTCGTTAAAACTTGGGGGGGGGGGGGGAGGTATGGCTCCGACTCAACGGGGAGGGAAGCAGATGAGGTGGAGGAGTAGGAGAAGAAGAGGAGGAGGAAACGGAGAAGGGGAGGGAAGCAGAGGAGGAGGAAACGGAGAAGAAGAAGGAGAAGAAGAAGAAGAATCTGACACCGAAGATGTTAAAAAATTAAATTGGTATGGCTGTGGCTCTGCGTCAACGCGGACGGAAGCAGAGGAGTAGGACAAGAAGAAGAAGAAGAAGAAGAGGAGGAGGAGGACGAGAAGAGGAAGAAGGAAGAATCTGATACGAAAGGTGAAAAAAAAACACACTATGGCTATGGCTATGGCTATGGCTCAACAGGGAGGGAAGCCAATGGGGAGAGAAGCAGAGGAGGAGGAGGAGGAGGAGAAGAAGAAGAAAAAGGGAGGAGGAGGAGGAGAAGAAGAAGAAGAAGAAGAAGAAGAAGAAGAAAAGAGGAGGAGGAGGAGGAGAAGAAGAAGAAGAAGAAGAGGAGGAGGAGAAGGAAACGGAGAAGAAGAAGAAGAAGAAGAAGAAGAGGAGGAGGAAGAAGAAGAATCTGACACTGAAGATGAAAAACACGAAAAAATCGCTATGGCTATGGCTCTGCCTCAACGTGGGGGGAAGTAGAGGAGGAGGAGGAGGAGGAGAAGAAGAATCTGATACGAAAGATGAAAAATCAAAAACAAATCGCTATGGCTATGACTCTGGCTCAACGGGGAGCGAAGCGGAGGAGGAGGAGAAGAAGAAGAGGATGAGGAGGGAAAAAGATGAAGAAGAAGAGGACAAGGAGGAGAACAAGAAGAAGAGGACGAGGGGGGAAAAAGATGAGGACATGGACAAGGAGGACGAGAAGAAGAAGAAGAGGAGGAAGGAGGAGGAGGAGGAGAAGAAGAAGATGAAGGGGAGGAGGAGGAGGAGAAGAAGAAGATGAAGGGGAGGAGGAGGAGGAGGAGAAGAGGAGAAGAAGAAGAAGAAGAAGAAGAAGAAGAAGAAGAAGAAGAAGAAGAAGGGGAGGAAGATGAGGAGGAGGAGAAGAGGAGGAGAAGAAGAAGAAGAAGAAGAAGAAGAAGAAGAGGAGGAGGAGTACGAGGAGGAGGAGGAGGAGGAGGAGGAGGACGAGAAGAGAAGACGAAGAAGCAGAAGAAGAGTAGGAGGAGGAGGAGGAGAGGGTGGTGTAAAAGAAAACCACGAAGAAGAAGACGAGAGAAGAAGAAGACGAGAGAAGGAGAAGAAGAAGATGAAGATGATGAAGAAGAAGAACGTCAAGAAAAAAAAATTAAAAAAAAGAAAATACACTGCTTGACCTACCTTCGCGGCTATGGGGGGGCGGTTGCAATGAAACAGGCTGGCGGGGAGAAGCAGCTGCAGGGCTATGTCGCTGGCGGGCTGGAGACGGGGCGCTGGCTATATTGTCGCAGCACATGACGTCGACGTGCATGCTGAATGGCGCGATGTCAACATGGCGTGCTGCTGCACAGGACGGGGGCAGGAGTGGCGAAGGCAGCAGCCGAAAGCAGGCCAGTAGGAGATTTGAAAACGCGGCCGATTTTGGTCGAAATCGACTGCGTTTTCAAATTCGAAAACGGGGGTCTACCGTACCTCGTTCTCTTCAGAAAACGCGCGGCTGATCTCCACCGTTGATCTGCACCAATCGGCGGCAGAGATTGGCCGTTAGTTTTCTTAAGAAAACAGGGTCCGGTAGGCCCCGGTTTTCTTCCAAAGTGGTGGCGGCGGCCTCCCAGAGGCTGGGTGGGGACGGGGACGGCCGAAAATCCCCAGTACCCCAAAACCCCAAATGGAGTGCGCCCGATTGAACTGGGGGCCTGCCAGGCTTGTGAACCGCCTGGTCCGACCGGCAGGCTCCCGGTGGGTTGAGGGTCCCCCGGTCCATCCGGGGACCATGACTGGTCTAAAGACTAAACCCTTTTTTTCGGAGTAGCCTTTTGGAGTTTGCCAAGATTTTTCCCGATTTCGGTAATTTTGGCAACTTTTTCATTACTGGTCGAAATACGTTGAAACTGAATACAGATATACCCTAAAGCGCATACATATCACACACACACACACACAAAAAGGGAAAAACCCAAAATTCAGGGAAATATGTCAGTTTCGGTGAAAAATTCGGCGAAAAAATGACAACACCTGTTAACCATTTGTAGTGTGTCAGTCAGGTGCGCATATCCACCTGCAATCATCAAGCTTGCAGTGGCATGGGCCGGACACAGAGACTTTTAAACCACCACTGCTTGGCCCAGCTATCAGCCGCAGAAAAAAATAGAGTAGAAACGTTTCTAGTCGGATGAATTTGGGCGCTCCTGTAGTAGCCCGTACGTTTCCTAAAATCGTGGCGCGTTAACGGACACGACTCTAGGAGGTACTGGTGGTGTAATTTTCCCCCGAATACAACGTACGGTCGTTATAGCTGTATTTAGACTGAAAGATACCCCAAATACAGCTGTGTTGACCGTACGTTGTATTCGGGGGAAGAAGGTAGAGGGCCAGAATCAATAGTGAGGTTATTACGCAGCGTGAATGTACTGGCCATTGGGACAAGTGTACAAATTACCTTTTCTTTTGCAACTCGTTAGAATTAATGCCGACAGGAACCTCCCGTATCTGTTCTGATTGTTTTCTGAGATGGCTCAAACTCATTTTGTATAAGGGACGCTGGACCCGTTTTCCAGCAGGTGATGCTCCCCACCAATCGATGGAGCCTCTCCCCAGGTGCTAGTGGTGTCTGCCCTTATCAGCACCACTAGCACTGGGGTGTTGTTTAAAAAAAAAAATAAAAAAAAATATATCATAGAACTTCTTATAATCGTTCCATTGTCATTGTATGTTATTTATTATATCATAGAGCTTCTTATAATCGTTCTATTGTCATTGTATGTTATTTATTATATCATAAAGTTGAATAGAAACTCAGTTGGGAAAAGTTTACCAATTACCTTTTTAAATTTTTTTTTTGCGACGCATTTAATGCGTCGCAAAAAAGGTAATTTGCACACTTTTCCCAACTGAGGTTCTATTCAACTTTTTAACGAGTTGCAAAAAAAAAGGTAATTTGTACACTTGTCCCAATGGTTCCTAAGGAACCCTCAAGACATTGTTCGTCCTCGGGAAACACACCTATCAAACTCGGCCGAACATTTGCCGCCGTGAAAGAGGGAATTATATCAACACTCAAATGGGTAAAACACTGCGCCATTGTGCCGTGTCCCTGAGCAAAGGTTCCAGCTGGCACAGGTCCATTCCTGTGCCGTACCAGGTCCGGAGCGTCCAAGCTGTTGACAATGTGCAAAACATAGGATTCAGTGTGAAGACGAGAATAGTGGTAGATGGATAGAGGAGTCAACGTCTCCTATAAGAAAGAAGCTGTGCATTCCAAGGCCTCTTCCAAGTACTATAAGTCTACGCCCCAAATTATGCGGGGCGCCAGCGGACTTACCTGCAGGTCGTAGCAGCCAAATGCGACACGCAAAGGCATCTCATGCTACCGTCTTCCCCCGAGCATGACGCACGCGGATAATGAATACATACAAACTATCTTCCTCGCTTGATGCAATGGTAATCATGGTGTGTTGTGTTTGCGAGGAGACTGTAGTAGGGGAGACGGTCATACAAACACAGTAGACCCAATCGAGGGGTGACCATCGGGCAGCTTCACAGAGTTCCCCCCTTACTCTGATAATCCGCCCAATTGGGTAGGGGGGACCACATGGGCAGCTCCCCAGAGGGACTGAGGCAATGTACTTCAAGTTGCAACCGCAAGTTGCAACACAGGCTATGGCAGTCCAAGCCCCTCATTATGAGGAAAAATATATAATAGAACCGCGTAAGCAGACTGCTATACCCACATGCCAACGAATATACCTACATAGGCAGGCTACCTTCTCCGGACTGGATTACTGCTTGCTCTTGAACTCCCTAAGGGGGCGCGCTTCACGAAGCAGGTATAGGTACGTTCTCGTACCGCAATGGGCTTGATCACAACTCAATGTACCTGGACCCGGGATTAGAAAAGGGCGCAGGTTTTTTCAAAGTAACTCAATCTCTGCTGCATACTCTTGAAATGAAGGAACAAGAGAGAGAGAGAGAGAGAGAGAGAGAGAGAGAGAGAGAGAGAGTGGTCCAGGCCTGCATAGACAGCGAAAGACATGGAGCTCATTCCTCAGCGCTTGATTGCCACCCTGTCACACACAGTGGCACAGCATATAAGATCTTCCGAGTACTCTCCGCCAGAAGGAAACAGAGAATTGACGGACTCGAGGCAGCGGTCAGCCAAACTTGATGAGAAACTCGGGGGAAGCGGAATGCAAGAGCCACTAATTAACTTTACCTTCTTCGACCGAATACAATGTACGGACATTAGTTTGGGTAATGGCCCCAACATTTTCATCCGGGTTGAATTGTTAGGTCCCCAGCCTCTATTCAGATTCATTTTGCAGTGTAACAAGGTGATGAAGATGGTGTCTTCCATAGCCAGGTAAGTGCCCCGCCACTCTCCTACCATGCCCCCTTCTTCCTCCTCCTCAAGCTGGGGTGCTCGCCATAGCCAGGCTGAGCCCCAGCTGCCCTTCACCTCCAAGCAGCGCTGCTTCTGTCCAGCGCTGTGCTCCAGCAGCATGTCGCCAATCCTTGCACACCGCAAATGAGGAAGAGCTCTCCGCTCTTCCTGAAGATATAGCGGCCTACCGGCCTCCTGGGCGGTGACTTCCTAGGCCGAGTGGCCTCCCAGCAACCGGTACCTCCTCTCTTTCGGAGGGAAACATCATTGCAGGCTCTGATATTGTCCGCACAGGCCCTAGACCCGGGCTACTTGGACTGGTACCGGCCTACCTCTAACCTACCGCTACTGGGCCTCTAAAAATGCCAACTTTTTGTCTTCTTCTGCTCGGCCTACCTGCTACTCGAGTGTTTTTCCCCAGCTGCTCTAAGTGTCGTGGGCCTACCACCCGCTACCTCAGCGTTTACCCCCCTGCAACCCTCAAAGTCATGGCCACAGGTAAGTACCGGCCCTGCGGGGCCTTGCGACCAACGAGTACCCTTGCGGGTCACACACACACTCAACCGACGAGCACTCAGACAGGCATGCAAACGGGCAGGCACGCACACACACACAGACTTGGAAAACACAGCAGAATGCGGGAATCACAGCAAGGCATTCATTCCAGTGGCAAATCCCAGAAATCGGCAGTGTTCTCAGTCTGTGTTTATGGCGGGTCATTACATTTTATTTTTTACTTTTGTTTTTATATTTTTTTCTAACACTTCCAGAGCAGGAAAAAAAAAAAAAAAAAAACACCACCACTTGCGAGATCTGTACTGCAAGCAAGAGTTAGCTTCTGCGAATGCCTACTAGATGGGACCATTTCTCCGGAACTGACGGCCAAGCTAGAGGAACGAATAGGCCCAGAGGAGGTCTGGAAGGGCCCGTGTTCCAGGGAGCCTTGGAAGTGTCCAGGCTAAGATGGACTCCCCATTGAGTTTTGGATGAAACATTAGAAAATTCTAGGGGAGTAGTATTGCAAGTTCGTACACAGCTTGGAGCAACAGAGGATTGGGGAGGTAGTACCTCAGCTCTTCCTATACAAGAAGGGGGACCCGGCGGACAAATCATTAGATTATAGATCTATAATGTTGGCAACAGTGTCAAATAAAATCCTAGCCAAGCTTCTAGCAAACAGAATAGCGAAACTGAAGAATCACTGCTTTCACAATAACGAGTCTGGTTTTATCCCTCTGGATACGTCATCCTAAGGCCTAAGCTGTGTAAAGCCCCTGGTGGGACCTGGCAGGCTAAGGTAGTAAATGATGGTATACTCGTCTTTGACGTTGCGAAAGCAGATGGCCAGGTCAAATGGGATTTCCTATAACAATGCACGGAAGAGATGGGAATCATAGGCGAATGAGGTATGCAAAGCTTCTCAAAACAAAATACAGACTTCCAGAAATCCAGTTGTGGAGAGGCCGCGCCCTCTGCCATCGATTCGTGACTGCCGCCCTTCAGTTCCCCTACTACTGCGGCTCTGCCGACCTTCTCATTGTCATTATCGAGGGAGGCCGATCCCGTGATTGCATATTCGCCGGCGCCGAAGGTGCCCTTGTCGGTGGTGAATGCTCGTGTAGTGTATTCTTTGTGCCTTACTGAGGCCAACGCCGCATTAGGGATTGCCTGTATCGCTCTGATGTTATATGCACCAGCAGAACCATTCCTAAGATGGGTTAAGAGTGTCCTATAGTCATGCTCACGGAGGAGCGGTAGGGGTCAGTGGCCAGTTCTCCAAATTCTAGCACATGCCGAGATCAGTCAGTCAGATAGGGAGACCCTCTGTTGCCTCCAACATTTTGTGC